GGGGTGGGTGGGGGTGGGGTGGGGGGAGTGAGCGAGCAGCTGTGTGGTGCTCAGTTGCTGACTGAGGTTAAACCACAACACATGGGAAACATCCACTCGCAAAGGAACTTGCAAGTGCTTGGAGTTATTCAAGAACAGCTTCCTGGAAGCACAATAACAATCCATCCCCTACAAAGGGAAAGGAAGAAGGCAGAAGACCACCCTGGCTTAACAATGAGATTTTGGTTAGGCTTAAAAGCAAAAAAGAAGCATACTGGCTATGGAAGTCCATCAAAGACTACAGGAATGGGGATGGAAAACAAAAGAGATGTTGTAGCGGCTGTCTACTACCAATGACCCAGCCAGAATGTAAGCACTGATGAGTTATTCTATAGCAATTAGGAGAAACTTCTGGATCGGTAGCCCTTGTCCTTATGGGAGATTTCAACTTCCCAGACATCAGCTGGGAATACCATACTGCTCTGACAAGCAAATCTGGGAAATTCCAGGAGTTTGTTGAAGACAATTTCTTGTCACAAGTACTTAGTGAGCCAGCTAGGAGGGATGCCCTCCTAGACTTGTTGTTTGTGAACAGAGAAGGACTCGTGTGGGATGTGATGGTAGGTGGCTGTCTTGGCTACAGTGGTCAAACTCAACGACATGGTTGAGTTTAAATTTTTTTGTGTAATGTGAAAAAAAGGACAGCAGAGTTGCTACCCTGGATTTCAGGAGAGCAAACTTTAAGCTGTTCAGGGAGCTATTTAACAGAGTACCCTGGGAATCTGCTTTTGAGGGCTTAGGAGTCCACGAGTGCTGGTCAGTCTTTAAGAACCACCTTTTAGAAGCACAGAAGCAGGTAATCCCATTGTGTCAAAAGTCAAGGAAGCAGGGCAGAAGACCAGGTTGGCTGAAAAGGAAACTACTCATGGAGCTCAAGAGGAAAAGAAACTGTATGATCTCTGGAAGCAAGGTCAGGCTTCACAGGAAGATTATAGAGCCATGGTTCCGTATATGCAGGCAGAAGACACAAAAGGCCAAAGCTCAATTAGAGTTGAAACTGGCCAGTGTTGTTTCAGATAACAAGAAGGGTTTTTTTAAGTATGTTAATAGCAAGAGGAGGCCTAAAGAAAACATTGGACCAATACTTATTGAAGATGGTCATCTAACTAATAGGGATGAAGAAAAAGCGGAAGCATTCAAAGAGTTTTTTTGCCTCAGTCTTTAATAATATTAATAGACCTTGGGCTGCCCTATTCTCTGAGTTGGAGGACTACGAGTGTAAGAACAGTAACCTTCCATTTGTGGACACTGAAATTGTAAGGGTCCAGCTGTATCAGCTGAACGTTCACAAGTCCATGGGACCAGAAGGGATTCATTCCAGAGTACTGAAGGAGCTAGCGGATGTTACAGCAGGACCCCTCTCAACCATCTGCCAAAGGTCTTGGGAGTCTGGGCAGGTCCCTGCTGACTGGAAGCTGGCCAACATTCTCCAGTTTACAAGAAGGGCATGAGGGAAGACCCAGGAAACTACAGACCTGTTAGTCTAACCTCAGTACCTGGAAAAATTATAGAGAAGATTATACTGAGTACTATTGAAAGGCATTTAAAGAATATTGCAATCATCAGGCACAGTCTACCCGGGTTCACAAAAGGCAAGTGCTGTTTAACTAATTTGATATCTTTCTATGATAAGTGGATGCCTAGTGGATGAAAGGAAGGAGGTGGATGTCAGTTTTCTGGATTTTAGTAAGGCTTTTGATACTGTCCCTCATAGCATCCTTCTGGACAAGTTGTCCAACTGCGAGATGAGCAGGTACATGGTGCACGGGATGATGAACTGGGCGAAGGGCAGGGCTCAAAGGGTTGTAATCAATGAGGCTACATCTGGCGCCAGTCACCAGTGGTGTTCTTCAGGGCTCAGTTCTAGGGCCAGTTCTGTTCAATATTTTTATCAATGATCTGGATGCAGGAGTTGAATGCACCATTAGCAAGTTTGCTGGTGATACATACTGGGAGGTGCTGTTGACTCCCTTGAGGGACAAGAAGCCTTGCAGAGGCTAGATTGATTGGAGCATTAGGCAATCACCAGTGTCATGAAATTTAAGAAGAACAAATCCTGGATTCTGCACGTGGGAAGGAGTAATGTTGGACAGAAGTATAAATTGGGAGAGGAGTGGCTGGAGAAAGGGAGTGGCCCTGCAGAAAGGGATCTGGGGGTGCTGGTCAGCAGCAGGCTCAATATAAGTCAGCAGTGTGCCCTGGCAGCCAAGAGGGCAAATCGCATCCTGGGGTGCATTAAACACAGCATAACCAGCACGTCAAAAGAGGTGATTATTCCACTGTATTCAGCATTGGTGTGGCCTCACCTTGAATACTGTGTGCAGTTCTGGGCCCCACAATTTAAGAAGGATGTTCAGGTCCTTGAATGCATCCAGAGGAGGGCAACAAAGCCAGTCTAGCAAGGAATGTCTTGTGAGAAGCACCTGAGGACTTTGGGTTTGTGTAGTTTAGACAAAAAGAGGCTGAGGGGCGACCTCATTGCGCTTTACAGCTTCCTGGGGAGGGGAAGCGGAGAGGGAGGTGCTGATCTCTTCTCCCTAGTATCCAGTGATAAGACATGTGGGAATGGTTCAAAGCTGTGCCAAGGGAGGTTTAGACTGCATATTAGGAAGCATTTCTTTACTTACAGCGTGGTCAGGGTTCCAGGGTCAAACCCTGGAACAGGCTTCCTGGAGAGGTGGTCGATGCCCCATGCCTGTCAGTGTTTAAGAGGCATTTGGACAATGCCCTTAATAACATGCTTTAACTTTTGGTCAGCCCTGAAGTGGTCAGGCAGTTGGACTAGATGATTGCTGTAGGTCCCTTCCAACTGAACTATTCTATTCTATTCTATTCTATTCTATTCTATTCTATTCTATTCTATTCTACAAGAATCTTGCTAGGGCATGCAGAGATGCAGTCAGGAAGGCTCAGCTAAAACTGAAATTGGCCAAAGATGTCAAGAACAACAGGAAATGAATCTTCGGACACATAAGCAGCAACCAGAAGCACAGGGAAGACATAGGCCAATCACTAAACAGCACAGAGAAACTAGTTACTAATGATGTTGCCAAGGCAGAGTTTTTTAATAACTTCTTTGCCTCTGTCTTTACCACTGTAGCTGAACCCCAGATCATGGAATCAAGAAGCTACAACAACACATGTATTAACACACCCATAGTGGAGGAAGGACTGGTCTTTGGCCTCTTGCAAGGGCTCAACCCACATAAATCTATGGGCCTGGACAGAATCCATCACAGGGTGTTAAGAGAAGTGTATGACATTGTTGCTAGGCCACTGTCTATAAACTTTGAAAAGTCTTAGAGACCAAGGGATATCCCTGATGACTGGAAGAGGGCATGTGTCATACCCATCTATTGCAAAGGAAATGAAGCAGGTGTTTGGGAAAAGCCAACAGATTTATCAAAGGCAAATCATGCCAGACTAACCTGACCACCTTCAACAACAAAATAACATTTTCTGGTGACATGGGAGAGCAGTGGATGTTGCTTACCTGGACTTAGCAAAGCATTCAACACTAGTTCCCCACAGATGATGGGATTGAAAACACCCTTATTGACTTTGCTGATGGTACCAAACTGGATGGCGAGCCAGACACATCAGAAAGGAGAGCCATCTTACAGAGATATCTGGACAGACTGGAAGAGTGGACTAGCAAGAATTGTATGAAGCTTAACAAAGTCCTGCACCTGGGATGACATAACGAAAGAGCCCAGTACAGGCTAGGATCTGTGTGGCTGGGGAGCAGCCTTGCTGAAAGGGACCTGCGGGTCCTGGAGAACAACAAAATGATCTTGAGTCTGTAGTGTGCTGCTGCAGCAAAAAAGGCAAATCAGATCCTGATCTGCATCCATAGGGACATTACTAGCAGAGATAGAGATGTGATCATCCCATTCTGCGCAGTGCTTGTCAGGCCACATATAGAGTATTGTGTCCAGTTCTGGTCCCCACAATTCAAAAAAGATGCAGATAGACTGGATAGCATTCAAAGAAGGGTCATGAAGATGGTCAAAGGACTGGAGGACCTGCCCTATGAGGAAACACTAAAGGAATTAGCTCTTTTCTCCCTGCAGAAGAGAAGGCGCAGCGGGACCTCCTCACAGTATTCCAGTACTAAAAGGGTGGCTATAAAGAAAATGGACACTCTCTTTTCATAAAGAGCCACATGGAGAAGACAAGGGACAACAGGTACAAGTTGCACTGAAAGAGGTTTCATCTAGATATAAGAATTTTTTTTACAGTGAGAAGAATCAATCACTGGAACAACCTCTGCAGGGATGTGGTAGAATCCCCATCACTGGAGGTTTTCAAGATGCAATTGGAGAGGATGATAGATAACCTCATCTAGGCTCCCTTTCCCATGAACAGTTGGACTAGATGATCTTTCGATATCCCTTCTAACTTGTGCTATTCTATGATTCTATGAAAATGGATAAAAGTATGGATGACACTTGCTGTCTAACAGAACATCTCTCTAATGGGATTTTAGTTTAAGGGCAAACAGCCAGTGTCCTTAAACCAAATTATTACAATTATCAATGTAGTAATTTTTATTTAAATGCAAATATTGCTGCTAAAGTACCATCTCTGAGCATTTTGAACTTTTTGTGAAATGCAATGGATATTTCACAGTTAACACACAAAATGATCAATTGTTTCAACTGAACCATAATTGATAAATTTTAATGGGTCAGCAGGTACTATTGGGCAACTCTCAATTGCCTGCATCTAAGAACACTGAACTAGATCCTTTACTGGGTTGTAATTACATCTGGAATACTTCTGAGTAGAGCTGGGGTGGAGATGGATTTCTCATCCTGCAGCATTTAAGACTTCTAAAATTTCTTGGTCCAAAACAGAAATGTTTCTAAAATTGCCCTGCCTGAATGAAGCGAAGAACCTGTGGAGGCTTAGGATGGATGGTAATGGGAAGTGGAGGGAGGAATGGGAGACAGACATAAAAGTTCTAATATAGCATATACCTGTGCTAGTTCAGACTGAGTCTGGACTGAGAAACAGGTGTAAATTTTCTTGGAAACTCGGTAATTAATGGAAAATAGCGTAGGCTCCTTCAGTCTCTGTTCTGATTTGCTCATATGTGTAAACCTGTTGTATTAGTTCTTACTTATCATTGGATTTTAACATGTCTACAGTAAATATCAATCTTTTCCCTTAGGAAGGCTTCTCATTCATTTCTGTTGGTAGCACGGTTACAGGGATTTTGGGCCAATTGCTAAATGTTCTTGGCTTACTTGTCCAAGTTGGAAGTATTGCCTATACGTATTACATTAGACACTGCATGGCAGTGCAGTATACGTATTACATTAGACACTGCATGGCAATTCATTCACCCATGTTCAGTACAGTTTTTTCAGATTTTTCTTTGGAAGACCAGAGCAGGAAGTCAGGCACTCTCTCTCTAGGATGTACCTATTGTAAGGTTAGTGTCCACAGTATTTTCTCCAATAATGTAGATTTAGCTTGATATTTTTCATTAGGAACTGGAATCAAACAGGCCATTTTATCAAAAGTTCATTTTAAGTACAGCACTATGTAGATGATATTTAAATACATATAATTACTCAGAAGGGAACACTGCTGTTTTCTGATATAGGAGTCACATGATGTTGCTATTTTAATTATTGTAGTGGAGTTTTCAAGTTAGCCTTTAATCATTCAAATTGAATCTTAATCCAATTTTCTCTCACTCTTTATCATCACAATATCCTCACCATGCCTCAAATGGCATGAATTCTGTTAGATATTAGTCATGAAAGTAAGTTGTTTCATTCAAATGTGAATGAGGCAGACGCTGCACTGTCATCCTTATACCTGAAATTCCAGCATTGTCTTTCCAATGTTTGGTTCTAGCATGTAATGATAGGCTCCAATATTAGTACCTGAGTTGTCAGCATCCTTCAAGTTACCCTTAGGGGAGAAATAAGAGAACATGATTAGAATGGAAGCGGTTGGTTTATGATGTGTTGTACATTTTATAGTTATGAACATGTTTTAGCACTGCAAACCTGAGTAATTTTTAATGCCCCTCCCTCTGTTTCTTTCCACAGCAAACAGTTTGGGAATCTGTTTTTTTCAATCACAGTTATTAGTTACTGATTTTACCAACATTTTGTATAACATCTGATTACTGTGAAAGGACTCTGACAATTCATAAACTGGTTTCTTTCTGCTTAAACATTGATCTATAGAACTCTATAGAGTTTTTGATGCCTTTGGATGCTTGCCAGTCTTCCTACAGTGATAGCAAATAAGAATGCTAAATCACTTAGTGAGCTGTTGATTACTGGGAAGGAGGAAAGGAGTTGTGGGATTAACAAGAAATGCTTTAGTATTTGCTTTTCAGCAAGCATTCAGCACTCTAGAGTCTTGCTCAGCTAGCCCCCCCACGCAGATCCTACTGGTCCTTCTTAAATCATTCCTCTCCTGATATAGTTGAGCTGGTTTATCTGATATGGTTTTCCTCTTGCCTGTGATCTTCACACTACTTGCTCAGGGTTCTTTCTTTTCTATCTAGCCAAGCTGTTTCTAGCCTGATTTATTCAATTTCACTAGATGAGTCAGTGAATTGTGCGAGGCTTTTCTAACTTGGTGTTTTGCTATGGCTCAAATATGCTCTGAAATATCTCAACACTGGCATGCTGTGGAAATAAGACCCACATCAGTAGCAACAAAGGAGGAGAAAAAGAAGGAAAGTGTTATCCCAGCAATGGATAATGGGATGGATAATGAAACATGACAAGAAGAGCAGGAGGAGGCCCCAGGAAAATGATAATGCAGCGCTTGTAAAATGCTTCGAGGTATTTTCCACCTCAAAAAGAATGTCATTATTTTAAAGAAGACATACACTTATGGGAGAAAAAAGGCAATTTGGAATTTTCAATTTCTTTACAAAAAGGAAAATCGTGTAGAAGAGGTATCTGGTTCTAGAGCTCTAACCAAAGTTTCTGCCAGGTGTAAAGACAGGAAGAAAATATGAGACTAGGGATGAGGAGAAGCAGAAAAGAAGGGGAAACAGTCTGATTTATTCTGTCCAGACCTGTTTATCCCTCCTCAGTCAAAAAGATAAAATATTCCTCTTGTTTTTACAGCTCTAACATAAATCGAATCTAATGGGACTAAAATGACTGAATAAAATTTTGAAGCTGTTCTTAGTGTTTCTTATGAACTAGAGCAGCATCCCTCCAGAGCACTTCTGAAATAAACTGGGAATGACTGGTGGCTCAGCAGTATATATTTTCATGATCAGCCCTTCAGCTGATCTTACCTGTCCCGGTATTCTATGGATAGGACAGTCTGTCTCCTTGCTCCAGGATTTATGAATCTGTGTGATACTGTTGCTCATCCATCTAAAATCTTAAACATAATTACTTGCAATGAATCAACAATACGCCCCTTCAGTTAAGTAATTTCTGTCTAGTTTGCAGGAATACTTATCACCACACTGATAATACTGACTGTGCAGGTTTTGCATCTCATGAAGTATATCTATAGTAATGAAGGCATTTAATAAAGTGCTTCTACGGTCATATTGATGAAGTATGATGAAATGGTCCATAATTTTACATTTGCATTTTCAGTAGAATCCAATAGCTGCATGAATTAGCCAGGTATAGCAAGGAGCAGTTTCACTTAAGCTTGTTCCTTCTTCTCCTTTTTAGCGGGAAAGCTAGAAAAGCAACATGAGATAATTTGGGACATATTCCTTTGGATAACCCCCAGGTGTTCAAAGATGAAGTTAAAGAGATTTCTACCCAATATGCTTTCACAGAACTGCTATTAAATTTATGGCTGTTGAATGCTGTAGTGTTAACACACTGCTGCTGAAGTATTTATGCTGGCTTTTACATATCCCTGAGGAAATCCAAACAGAACTCTGCAAAGTACATAATCTTTTACCTCAAAAATTTCCATTAAAAATTATAAATTACTTGAATCAAAATTCCCTTTAAATTTCACACAAAAATAAATCATGCTATAGTTTTCCTAGCTTTTATGGAATTTTATCCCTCCAAAAAGTATAAAATTTGCAGTGCTGGAAAAGAAAACATCCTTTCATCTGTAAAACAGATACAGACCAGACTGCCTTACACTCATCTGTTTCTACATCTTTCCCCAAATATATCTTATGAGTACAAGGCTTTTTACTCAGAAGGTGAACTACAGATCATCTCACAAAATACAAGGAAATAGTAATGTTTCTAAACTTTTCAAAATCTCTTTCACACTTACCAGAAATGCAAATATAAGAGGAATTCAATTAACCTTTCCTGAATCCATTAGGTATGTCTTTTAGCAGATTGCCACTTTCATTTTTAAGGATTTTTAACACCCTAAGATGATATTTGTTACATAGTATTTTTCTGAGCTATAAATATTTTTTTCTAGGTATAAACTCCAGAAGAAATAAATCTAAGCAACTTTTAAGGGTTAACACAGCCTTGCAAAACTGATGTTTTAATACCACAGTATTAAGCATAAAATTGGCTTGGACAATCTTTATTAGAGCAATGGTGAAAAAACACTAAAACTTTGAATTTTGTCAGTTGGATGAAAATTTACCAGTTTTGAAGAATAATAATCATGTCGATTTCCTTCATTAATACCTTTCACATGTGTTATCTATTGGTCACTGCTAGAGAAGACATAGTAGGCCATGTAGAGCTTTGATCTTGCCTACAAGACCTTACTTATTTTGCCTACAAAATCTTCATAAGATATTTTCCCACATGGAGATCATCTAAACCGATATCATCCTATGTACTATAGAAGCACACAAACTCTGAGTTACCTGGATTAACACTGAAGATATATTTGCAGAAGTTCTAATAATCCTGTCGGAGAAGTTTATCAATAAACCAGAGTCATGCATCAGTACTGATACTAAATTCCTTAAGGGTCATTTTGTACTTAAGCTGGTTGAGGAAACAGCCTCCTGAACACTTTCCATGATGAATTCCTTTGTGATCCTGCGACAAGGCAATTCATTGAAGAGACAGTTGATCAGAGCCACCTTTTGCAGCATCTCACCTTGCTTCTGCTCTGCTTAAGCAGCTCTGAAAAAACACACAGTGAATTTTACAGGTCTCAGGTGAAATCTGTATTTCCCATTGCATTTCTTAGGCATATTTTTCCTCTCAGTACAGGAGAGGTAGAACACAGTTTAAAAAAAGGTGTTACATTATTTATTAACTGCTTTTCTCATAAAATTTGACTTCTGAGAGACAACATTTTAAGTGAGAAATAGCTTTACCACTTCTTTTCACAAAAAATACTGGTTTAATTAAAGATTAATTTATTTTATAAAAAAACTGTACTTTGGTGACCTTTTTAATTGAAATTTTAAATGGTTTCTGCAAGTATTAATTTGCAGCTTAACACACTTTCTAGCAAAAGCCATGTTTGGAGTGAATTAAGTTTCCAAAAAATGTTCCAGAGAAAATGCATCTTAAATGTTTGGGTTTGGTTTTTTTTTTTTTTTTTCTTCAGAAAACAGGTCTGATTTGACATCTGAAAAGCAGAATGACATCTCTGAATTTCTTGATGATTCTGTCCTTTGTTTCTTTTAAACCAACTATACTATATAAGCTATTTTGAGGTGGCTCTGACCAGTCTAAAGGGACAACTTGTAACAAAATTGTCACCTACCGTTGTTCAGCCCACCTTTGCTGCATAGCTGGTTGAGCAGCCAGCAACTAGCTGCTTTCCTTGCACATTTTGCAGGGGGCTACTTGCTAGTTTAGTCAAATCTTTTAAAATTGCAGTTCATGTTACTTTTCCCTGTTTTTGTAATAGGGCATGAAACTTTCTCAGATCTTTCAACAAGTGAACAATGCACTTATGCATGTGAGCTCTCTGGGGTGACCTGAACAAAATGCCATGATGTTAATTTTGTGGAGTCTAAGGCCAGACAATGTCCTCACCTCATCTTGCCCAACATCTTGCATTACATATGTAGTCAGGACACACCCATGTACCCTACCTCAAGCCCAAGGATTTTAATTATATCAAAGCCTTTACAAGACTAAATTGTGTGCCACAGACAGTGAAAAGTAGAGACCAAAGCACTAGCAATGCCTGAATTGCAACTACAAGGAATAGATTATGTGAATTAAATCCATATGAACCTAGCAGATGCAGCCCACCCTCAGCTTTTAGGTAGGTTTAAAAAGATGCCTTAAAATATTTATGCCAATCTGACCAAAAGATGACACTTCTAAAAATCTCAAATCTGGCAAACAATCTGGGCTTGAACAAGCAAGTAAGATGCTTGAGAGAAACAGCAGAGTGCAGATTCTATTTTAGCTCTATCCTAGAGGGTGAATCAGTCCCAATGATGGCCATTCTCTTATGATACAATGAAAAGCAGTCACTCTCAAACTCTGCTTTGTTCATTCTTCCAGCTGCTGTCTCCTTACCCCACTAACTGCATATACAGACAGTAATTTATTGGGAATGGGGTAAGAAAAATATTATATTCTATGGTAATAACAATAATAACAATGAATTCCTAGTCTTTCTAAACAATCAATTGACATTTGTTTTCTGTTGTCTTAATACAGAGATGAAGCAGTATGACTATATTAAGTCACCACGTCATTGTATTCTTTTCATATGTTATGAAGAGAGTGAAAGAACACAGGGACTCAGAACCTGCCATGATTTTCAACACCTAAGCTATCTTTGCAGAGACATGATGAATAAATTTATACTAGACTTGGAGGAAAGCAGTTTTTTAAAAATATCTGAATATGTTTTAGATGCCAAGAAATAGTAACTAACACCTCTACAATTCCAGTGTTTAATTTTCTTCATGGCCAGGAAGATTTGCCATACTTGAGGACTTTATCTTACTTCAACTGATAGATCAGTTTTGTAATTTGTAATGTTTGATATGATACACTGCATACTCTTTTGTGTTCAATTACAGCAGCATCCATAGATTCTTCTATCACCATTTTTTTCTTCCTCCAGGCCTTATGGAATTCAGTATCTGAGACAATTGCTTTAATTCTACTGGATTGTTTCTATTCACTTCAATAAGAGTGTGAGTACACTGCATTGTATTACTACTGGGAGGCTTCTAATCATGATGTAATAACTGGTTCCATCAAGCAGACCACTGATTGTTTTAAATTCAATAAAAATAGAGGCATAGTTCTCTGAAACAAGAAACAGCAATGTTTTAAATGTTTACCTTTTTATAGGGTAGAATTTTTTTTTTTTCATTTGAAAGAAGACCACTTGTACCCTCCCTTTTAAAATACTATTTTTAACAAAATGCTATTTTTCTACCTGAAAAGGGGGAAGGCTTTCGCCTTAGCTTCCATCTCCATAAGGCAGAAGTGATGTTGACCGGGCCAATGGGGACAGCTGGCCGTGAGCAAGACTCAGAGGAGCTGGTTTGTCCCAGTCCTTCAGATATGTAGAAAACAGGGAAAGTAGGCCCTAGCTTAAAGACGATCATTCTTTGTTTTCCGTAGGTGAAAGTAGCCAAACCCCACAGTTATAGCCCATTCATAGTTACATAATCACTATTTATCTGAAACAGCAAGTTTACCTGTCATACTCTCTGGTATTGTAAACATTAATGCTGTGGGCCAGACCCTCAGTACAGTAAAATGCACTTATGCTGAGCAAGTTATTTGTGTAATGTAAGCAGGTGGCATTCAGGTCAGTTCTGGATTTGTCTGTTCCTGCGGCAGCACTATAGGACTGGCTGCTGCTGTTTACTGCAGCAATGTGATAAAACCAGTCTGTTGCTTTAAGTCACAGCGAGACCTGAAATCACTCAGAAGGATAAAAGTTAAAGAGAGGTCCTTCTAGTTGTCTCCTCCCCTTCTGTTTGGTGTCTGCAAGGAGCTCAAAACGAAAGCATTACTCCTGTAAGTGGTGAAAAGAGGAGAGGCTTGTTAAGTGAGTTTAAAAGTCAGTTTCAGTTATTCTAAGGCTGGCATTGGAAAGTAAAGTGTGTAGAACAGAGAACTTACTTAGACCACAACATTGTGTAACACCCTAGAAGATTTCCACTACTCTCAATGAAGATTTCTACCTCTGCTTTGAGTCTTTCTGGTGAGCCCCTGAGTTTCTAGAGGATGGCTGGCCAAATATGTCCCCTTGGATGAGAAATCAGCAAAAGGAGCTCCCTTGTCCTAAATATAGTGGCAGTGGCATGAAGCAAGGCTCTACTGCTCCTGCTGCTTGCTTACCTAACTCTGACATGCAGGACAGTAATTGCTGCAACTCCACAATTTTACTTTAGTGCTCAAGGGCCACTAGTTGAGGCAGCTGAGTGGCCACACAGGTATTTTCTGGCACTGTTTGTAGCAGCAGTGAAGGAAGGTTTCAGAGGCCTCTTTGCCTGACCAACAATATGAGGCAGCCACTTTAAGAAAACTGATGTTTTCCTTGCCCTGTGCTGTGCTGAGGTTTTAGAGTTTAGATTCCAGCCTTGTCTTGATTTGTGCTTCCGGTAATTCCTTTGGAGAACAAGTTATAGCAAACATCAAATATATATTGTTGCACAATGAGTGTATTGAAAATCTTTATGAACACCAGGATGCTCAGGGGAAAAGAAGCACCGGCTTTCCATGGATAGTAAATTTCATAAGTTTAAGTGGTTTCTGGATATTGCAGTGAGGAGTGAAATGAGTTTTGAAAGCCAGAAGTTAGCATTTCATTAATGTATTTGCATTCTTCATGTAGGTACTCATTCTGATCAAACTTGCTGCTGCAGCTGAAAAAATTTTTTTTGTGCTTTTAAAAAGATGCTTCAAGTGACCTTCATGACACACTAAATACCTTTCCCATCTCAACTTGGCCACAATAATTTCAAGTCTATTCTCTCTATGGCATTGTGAAGAAACTTGTAAAAGAGGCTAAATTTGCAACATGACCTACAAAGCCAGTGAATTCAGGTATTGCTGGATCCTTGACTGACAAACAGGGACAGCCTTAGTTGACTTCAAGTGCTGGGATAAAACATAAAAAAGAAAGTCTGTAAGACTAAAATGACTAAGGCTTAGGGACAGCTGTAAATAAAAAAATCAGCACTTTTCATCACCACTGGCACAAATGTTTGACCAGGCACATTTCTTGCCTAATACAAATAGAAAGTTCACTGCAATAACGTATTGCTGAGTAAACAACCAGTTGCCTTCTACCTCTGTTATATTTCTGAGAGTTTTAAGTTTGCTGCAACAATATATTGCTGACTAAGCAACCAGTTGCCTTCTGTTACATTTCTGAGTTATTTCCAGTGTTGACGAGTAGAATGGAATACAATTGTATCAACTTGGGGTAATGCAAAGGCAAGCTTAGCAGAGTCCATTTGGCAGAAGTCATACGTTAAAAAGGAGAAAGTGTCTCTGGTTCTGCTATGTGCATATTTTGAAGCTACAGAGTTTCTCCTTACTCTATCTGCAAATCTAAATAATGAAGTAAAAGAAATAATTCTGATAGCTGTTCCTTCACATTTCTCCCTCACTGTTTTTGGCAGCTAGCTCGTATTCAAAGCTAGAATGCTGAAGAAGGCATGACAGCAAATGCAGCATTTTAGCACCCCACAAGTATGTGACAAGAAAGATAATCCATTCTAGGCAGAACAAGAGAAAACTTAAATGGAGAGAAGTCCGTCAATTAAGTTGTAACTCCAAAGCACTCAGGCCTCTAAATACCATGGACAATGTTTATTTGATTTACAAGATTTTCAGAGGAGCTTAATTGGTCCCTGCTGACTGAAGGCAATACTGATAACAAACATGGTATTATTTATGCCATCTATCTGTTTCCCCACGCCAAATATTTGCAGTCTTCTACACACAAGATAAAATCTGGAAGCATCTACTGAATTATTCAAACCTGTAAGACCATGGAACGCTTGGAGTGAGGGCAAGATAGTGTTTGTTGATTTTAAAGAGCTAATCTCTGCCCATTTGATATGAAAATGCTCAAAAAGAAATTAACTGAGTCCTTAAGTCAGTGACATCACACAGGCTGCAGGACTAAAACTATTTATTTCGTCTCCTACACTGTGCTTAGTTATGAAGGGTTTCTT